GGGTCATAACCTTAGAACCCCTCCAACTTTACCCTTGGTAAGACTCATATTTTGGGGAAATGCATGAAAATCTTTAGAGACTAAGGCGAGATGAAAAAGAACTTCGAGCTGATGGGATTCCTTAAAGTCCTTCTTCTTGGAGTGACTCTGAGTGAGGAGAATGGCCACTCACAGAGGGACGGCTTATTTAGTCAACAAGTGCTAGACTAGTGGGGGAGAAAACCATTGCTCAGTTTTCGGTTATGAAACTGACTTATTTGGGAAGTTGTTGAGAACTCTCTAAGCTAAGAGTTTTGTTGCTGTTCTTACTTGTTCCATTTATAGAAGTAACCATTGCAGTTAGTTTAGGATTAAAATGTAATTTGCGCCAAATTTTCTGATCACTATCTAAGATGTTCTTGTTTACAGTAAGTCCTTTAAGTGCCAATCAAGCATTTATTGAGACCTTTTGTACTCAGTATTGAGCTCAGCAAAAGAGGGCCTATCAGAACACTCTAGGATGGGATCTCTGCCCTGAGCTACTCTGTCCCTTACGTAAAAGGCTGTGCCTTTTTTTCTGTGGCTGATGTCCAGATTCAGGCCTGGGTGACCTTACTCTGAGTATTGCATGTAGACTCCAGCTGCTGGCCTCTGAACTCTTACATTTGCCCGTCTTTCCTGTTAAATAACCAACTTTCCCAGTAGGGCCCAACTCTGGGACCTGACTCCCTCCAACCACAGATTCAAATGGCCTCATCTTCCCACCACATCAAACCAAGGCAGACAGACGGTAAACGTGGAACAGAATGGTCTGAAACCAATGAGTTGATAGAGCCCACAATTTAAAAAATACTTTAATACATATATACACACATATGTATGTATATATGTGTATCAGAATGCTCTGAAACCAATCAATGAGTCGATAGAGTCCACAATTTAAAAACTATTGTTATACATATATACACATATACTTATGTATATGCATGTATCTGTGTGAATGTATGACACATATGTGTGGGTGCCTGTGGAGGCCAGGAAAGGATGTTAGATTCTTGCAGCTGGATTTAAGGTAGTCTGCTGTGTGTGGTGGGAATTGAACTTGGGTCCTCAGGAAGACCAGAGAGTGCTTTTATCCACCGATCCATCTCTCTAGCTCCAATTTTTGAAAGTTTGAAGCAATTTCTTAGTTTAAATTATTTACTAATTTACTGTGTGTGTTTGTGTAGGTGTTTGTACCACAGTGCATGTGTGGAGGTCAAAGGTCATCTACTTGCAGTCAGATCTTTTCCTCCCACCAAGTGGATCCCAAGGATCAAACTCAGGTTGTCAAGGCTTAGCGGCAGCGGATAAATTTACTGGCTGAACCATCTTCCCAGATCTTTCCCTGCAGTTTCAACAATGGCTTTTTTTTTTTTTTTTTTTTTTTTTTTTTTTTTTTTTTTTTTATCTAAGAAGCATTTGGAGTTTCTTTTCCAAGTATGGTTCGGATGTCAGGTTCTGGGGTCTTGGGACAAAGCCAGGTTCTACCAATTTCCGGCTCCATGGCATCGGGTACTGATTTATTAAGAATGTACATTTTTACCACACCAAATCCTAATAATTATCTTACAATAACTTACATCATTGTTGTATCTATTTGAAGGACAGATAATATCTTTAAATAACCTTACAGATACAGGAATGTTGCAAAATCCATGGGGGCTCACATCCTCTCCCAGTTTCCTTTAATGGTGATATATCACATACCTCATATATTTGTTGAAAGGAGTTAATGAACCTTTGTACAAGTCAATGAATAAATTCTTGTCTCCATTGAATTTAGGACAAAACATTTTTTTTTCTTCCAGACTTTTTCCAGCAGTTAATTGAGTACACAGAAGAATTTCGACCCCTGCCGATCATTAAACTTTGGATTGGACCAGTGCCCTTGGTGGCCCTTTATAAGGCAGAGAACGTGGAGGTGGGTATTTACTATTACAGTGGATAGTGCACTCTATAGGCTACGATGTAAGAAGTTCATCAGGACACAAGGAACAAATACAGCTTCAAATTTCATTACACTCCATCCACAGGGCATTTCGCTCAGGAGGCACTGGGCAGGCCATTCAGTGATTTCTTACTGCAATTCATTTGCATTCCTGGGAGAATAACTCCCCAGAGCTACACGTATTCCTCACTAGGTCTCAATATACTTTTTCTCCTTTTGAAAGAAGTCTTCTGAGAGGGAGATTTCTATTGTTGTTTTGGGTTTTTAATGCTTTGTTTTGTGTTGCAGATTAAATCTAAGGCCACTGCACGTCATGTTCTTCCATTAAGGTCTACTCCTCTTTCTATTGTCTAATTGTGAGACACTGAGTGGCCCAAGGTGGCTTTGAACTCATCCTGTAGTTCCAGGCTACCCTTGAACTTGTCTGTAGCTCTCCTTCCTCAGTCTCCTGAACAGCTAGTGTAGTAGCCCTGCACCAAGCCTGGTATACCAGGCAGTTTCAAGAGTTCAAAATTAATGGCCAATGAAATAGGGGTGTTTTCAGGGTCTCATATTATATCAATGATAAATATATTACTGTACTGAGGATGTGGAGCATAAGGAAAAGAAACTAAGCCCTGGAGTTGTTTGCCCGGTAGCAAGCCTGGAGTATTCTGACCTGACATCTGGAACAGAGGCTGTCTTAGTTATTTAGTTCTCCTGCTTGTGATGAAGCACCATGGCCAAGATCAAGTATAAGAGAAAGATTTTAGTTTGGGGCTTATGGTTCCAGAGGGTTAGAGTCCGTGACTATCATGGCAGGGAAGCAGCAGGCAGGCAGGCATGGTGCTAGGGCAGTAGCTGAGAGCTCACATCTCACCCCACAAGAACTGGACAGAGAACTAGCTGGAAATGGTATGGGCTTTTGAAACCTTAAAGCTGAACTTCAGTGGCACACCTCATTCAACAAGGCTACACCTTCTAATCCTTCTCAAACAGTTCCACCAACAGGAGACCAAATACTCAAATATATGAGCACATATATATGCCATTTTCATTCAAACCACCATAGAGGCTATTCTCTCCGTTTATTAAACAGTACAGTGAATATGGTATTGAGAAGGAATGAGGAACTTTTATCTTAGTCATCTTTTATAGGATTGTCCTAAAGTGAAAAATTGTCTTTCTAACCCTTTTGACTTATTATCAATGTCTGCCCACATGCTTCTTTCAACATTGTGTGTGTGTGTGTGTGTGCAGGTGTGTATGAGAGTGGTGTGTGTGTGTGTGTGTGTGTGTGTGTGTATGTATCTATGTGTGGGGGTTGTGTATGAGGTGTGTGTGTGTGTGTGTGTGTGTGTGTGTAGGTGTGTGTTAGGGTGTGTGATATATGTGTGTATGTGTGAGGGTTGTGTGTGATGTGTGTGTCTGTGTGTCTGTGTGTTTAGGTTGGGGGTATGTGTTTGTGTGTATGTATTGCTCTAAATATCTTGCTGTTTTCAGGGAATGGTTTTAGGTCTAGTTACTATTCTTAGGCACACATAAATTGTTCTGAGTCAGAGGCATGAGCGGGTTACAAAAAATAGGGAATATGGTACATTCAAGAATGCATTCGGTAAAGCTTATAGGAGTTAATTACATTGGAAATCCAAAGTAGAGTAAGAATGATTCTTTTGTTTTTCATAAAGGTCCATTCATTCTAAACATATGGAACACTGAATACACAGCATGTAAGCAGAATGAAAACATAGTCATAAATGATTTCCAGTCACAGTATTAACTTGTTACAGATGGGGTGGAAGTTTGATTTGTAACTGCAAGCTATAGGCAGCATTCTCAGAAAAAATATTCCTATAATCCTGCTCCCTCAGATGTATTAATTAAGGGGGCACATCAATCAAAGTGGCCATTGATGTTGGGTTGGTAGTAGTGGACTGTGTTGGAGGAGTGGCATGAATTAGCATTACTATAGTTTTAGTGATTCTTGGAAAAGGTGGAATGCCTTTCAAACTCAGGAGAGGGGCCCTCTTCTGCAGTCAGGTTGTCTTCTGGTGCCAGTCCATGGCTTTTACCAGTCACACTGAGGACTAGAGATGGTCTGGTAGGAGAAAGCAGAGACATGGAGCCATAGCTCCAATTAATGGGTGGAGTAGGATGTAGCTATTTGATGAGTTCTTGAGGGAGTTTATATGAAACCATGAGGGTTTTATTGTTGTTTTGTTCTCTCTCTCTCTCTCTCTCTCTCTCTCTCTCTCTCTCTCTCTCTCTCTCTCTAACGTTTCTCTGTGTAACAGTCCTGGCTGTCCTGGAACTCACTCTGTAGACCAGGCAGGCCCCAAACTCACAGAGATTCATCGACCTCTGCCTCCAAAGTGCTAGGATTAAAGGTGTGTGCCACCACCACCTGGCCTACTTGGATTTTTAAATGAAACTTCATGCTTCTTAGTGATATTTTCCCACAGGTGTCAGGGAGGGAAATTGAGAAATACAGAAATCCTTTAGTACCCACTTTCATTTTTGTATTTGAGTTTTGAATAATAATTGGGTTCATTTAATTATGGCTTGTCCTTGGCAGTTGTATGGAATGCCACGGCAGACATAAATTTCCAAAGTTGGCAAAATGAGATAAAAGTTTTATCTGTTTAAAAAAGTTTAAACTGCCGGGCGGTGGTGGCGCACGCCTTTAATCCCTGCACTCGGGAGGCAGAGGCAGGTAGATCTCTGTGAGTTTGAGGCCAGTCTGGTCTCCAAAGTGTGTTCCAAGAAAGGCGCAAAGCTACACAGAGAAACCCTGTCTCGAAAAACCAAAAAAAAAAAAAAAAAAAAAAAAAAAAAAGTTTAAACTGTTTTAATTTGTTTAGGAACCCCATTACAGAGAAAGCAGAGAATAACTATCCAGAAACAGTTCCAACAGATTCGTGGGGTTTTGTAGTATAAAAACCTGAAAAAGTATCAATGCCAATGTGAACAAATTGAAAAGAACAAAGAAATGTATATGAGTTATATTTATTAGCCAAAATCATTAGGATGAAAACCATGGGAGTTAACTCCTCTCGGGGTGGTGGTCCCCAATGACTGACAGTTGGTACAGGACTAGATGATTTGCTGAACCTGTATCTGTGATAACTGAAGTTATTTTTGAAAGTTTTAGCTCCTTCACAAAGGGAGAAATGGAAAGCAGGAGTCTGTTGAAGAAAAGACACAAATAGGTGTCAGCAATTTGGTTTTCTTCTGTGAGGGGCCGGGCACTCGTGTATGGATTGAATAAGAACATGTTGGGTTTGTCTAGAAGGGGACTTCAGATAGTGATGACAAGAAGGAGTCTAAGATATGAACCAAGGTGGCTTGAAGCAAAAGTGGAATGGCTTGAGCCACACAGTGAGGATCTCTTAGGAGATGGACAGGTTAATCAGGGAGTTGTCAGGAAGCAGAAAAGGCAGCCCAAAGTTTTGCCCATTGGGTGGTAGTGCCTATAGAGTTTACAAGAGAGTGCTATATCCCAGCATCATAGTGCTAAGCAATGGTCCCTTTTGTCTGATTCGTTGACTCGGTCTGATAAAATGGTCAGTGCATGAGAAATACGGTGAGTATTTATGAGAGAAAAGGCCTGTATGGGACGTCATACAATTGTATATGAAGTCTTTATAGGAAAGGAGGTCAATAGAAGGTTGTCCCCCACCCCTGCAAGTGTTATTTTCTATTCTTCTGAGGTCTGTAGCAGAAAGTGAAAGTTGTTTTGAGACATGGAAGGGATGCACGGTTTTGGTTCAGCTCTGTTGAGTGATGGTCACTCTTTTGTTGGTTTGGGGCAAAGGTTTTTTTGTTGAGCTGTATTGGGAAAAAATAACCATCCTAAAATGACTGCAGTGGTGGTTAATTGTCCAATGGCTGCTGTAAAGGGAAGAGCAGTATCGGAGATAAATAAATAGAGGGAGCAAATCTAATCATTGACAAGAAAGTGGGTTGTTGTTCTAAGGCTTGGGCTACTAGCTGTGGTCATCTGAGGTGAGGTTAAGTCAGTGTCCTCTTTAAGAGACACAAAAGGGTGAGACAGAGCTACATTGGGAGTTTCCAAGGAAGGCCAAAGCCAATTGGCATTGCCTAAGAGCTGTTGAAGAGAATTTAACATTATCTTTTTGGGGCGGTGGGGGGTGGGGGGTGGGGTGGGGAGAGACACTTGCAATTGATGAAGTTTGATGAAAGAATTAGTGACAATATAACCAAGATAATTTTATGGAACAGTTAGCTGAAGTTTGTCTGGAGCAAGCAGTAAATGGAAGTTTTATCATGAAGCTCGTAAGTCATATAAAACAATTAGACTTGTGTCTTTAGTAGGGGAAGCTAGTGAGACATCCTCCATCTAATGAAATATGTAAGTCTTAGGAAATTTGTATCAGGTAGGGTGTATTGTCTTATTTGCCCACCATTGGCAGAGGTGGGGGTAATGAAACTGAGACATAGGTGTTAGATAATTGAGAATAAGCACTGAAAAGGCCAATTTTTCTGTACCATCAAGGTGTAAAGGAATAATAAAACAAACAAACAAACAAACCTTTACATCAGTCACAGTATCATGGGTGTTGTGGGGGACCATGGCAGGAGAGGGAGTTTGGGGGAGTAGGTAACCCCGAGGCTACTGCCAGAATTTGATTCGTATCGGGGACATTATTTTCAGCTCTTATGGGGTTTGCCAGGTTTATTTATTAATCGGGGTGCTGGCAAGTTGTTGAGCCACGGTTTCTAAGTCTTCTTTTCAATGGTTACCTTTTTTTAAAAAGGTGATTAAACAGACTTTAAAAAGCTTTTAAATTTGCATCCGCAGAGAGACATGATGCTCAGCCTTCACATCCGTGGTTGTGGTAAAACCGCTGTTTTCAGGAGAAGACAAGTCTTTAGCTCTGGATGGACTAGCAGGACAAGGGAGGGCCGAAAAAGATGGAAGATTGGGCCCAGGAAATATGTGTGGTTCCATAGGAGATGGGATTTTGTTTTTGTTTTTTAATTCTCTTTTCTCTTGATGAAGCTGTGTAGCTAGTCTAATTTGGTTCCAAAGAGTGAAATGTTTCCCCCTCCCCCTCAAGTTTCTGAATCAAGGGTTCCATGGCCAGGGTACCAGGGACAATATTTCTGACTAATGTTTAAAAGCTCATAAATTGGCTTTAGTGATGCCTTAGCTCCAGCTTAAGTGCTGTGAATAAATTTAAATGCAGGAGACAAAGAACTCCCCACAGTGAACAGAAAAGCCAAAGCCAATCAAGGGACTCACCTTTTCATTTTCCACAGCTCCGTTTAGTCCCCAAGCTTGGATGACAATTTATTTGTATGCTTGAAACTCTGAGCAGATTTCTTTTAGGAATGAGAACTAAATGAACCACAGAGAATAATAATTCTTGATAAATATTGATCTGAAAAGCAGACTTAATCTAATGGTCTTATAACTGTGGTTATTTTGATGTCTAAATCCCTCAATTTTTTTTTAAATCCCTTCTTAAGGTAATTTTGACCAGTTCGAAGCAAATTGATAAATCATATATGTACAAGTTCTTACAGCCGTGGCTGGGATTAGGACTTCTCACAAGGTAAGGCACTGTCTGATGTTTTTGATAGACCACTGTCCAGGTGTCTGGTAGCCTCCAGCTATGGAAATAGACAGTTTCTAGTCAGGCATGCCTATGATCAGTTATGAGTTCATAACTTAGAGTGTGAAAAGCACTCTACGAATTAAGAGGTCTGCAGTAGATAAAAACGTGTGGTGAGGGGAAGCCTTGAAAAGCTAGCGGGCAGCCAGGCAGCCGCAGGTAAGGACATAAATCAGCCTTGATGTGGCACCTGGAAATAAGCCTCTTCCCCAAGGGAGGGCTCAGCCAGGAACAGGCATTTAGTAAACTCTGTTTCAGGGTTCAAACAGCAGACAAAAAGGGTGGAGTCACAGAGCATAAGCACATGGGTGTCTGAAGACCGCGGCTTAGGGAGGGGCTGGTTTTCAGAAATTCATCTTAGAAATGGACAAAATGTTCCCAACATTTCCTGTTTTGTGAAAGTAATTTTTAACTATTAACATCATAGAACGAGTTCCAGGTATCGACACCGTGGGGGAACTACTGAGACCATCATAATGCCGTCCTCATTCGAATGAGATCATTGCGGTGTCTTGGTCGAGGCTGTTTTAGAATTCAGTTGACTGGGCGGGGCTCCTGGCTGCTGCGCTGTGTGTGGCTTTACCGCTCTCTGGTTTATGATGATTTGTCTGTCCTGCTTGCAGTACCGGCAACAAATGGCGCTCCAGGAGGAAAATGTTAACGCCCACATTCCACTTCACAATTCTGGAGGATTTCTTAGATGTCATGAACGAGCAAGCCAACATATTGGTCGATAAGCTTGAAAACCATGTCAACCAAGGAGCCTTTAACTGCTTTTTTCACATCACTCTTTGTGCTTTGGATATAATCTGTGGTAAGTCTGGTTGGTTTATGCCCTGAAAATCCAATGGCCTGAACAGAATATAGGATTCCGTGGGTATGCCGGGCGGTGGTGGTGCACGCCTTTAATCCCAGCACTCGGGAGGCAGAGGCAGGCGGATCTCTGTGAGTTCGCCTGGGCTACAGAGTGAGTTCCAGGAA